AAATAAAAAAGTTGAATCGGTTCGTTCGTTCCGGAGAAATCGTTGGACGAAATTTCACTCACATCTGGTGCTACGCAAGCACATACACACACACACACACACACACACACACACACACACATTTCATTAGAAACGTTTCAGGATGACTCTAGAGGTCACGAAACGTGGACAAATCATCGAAATTCAACATTTCATTTTCGGGGTCACTACAATAACTTCCTCCCTTCGGGTCGGGAAGTTAAGCATAAAATTACATTCTTGTTATAGACATAATTAAAGAGATGAGAGCAAGAAATCTTTTGCGAGAGGAAATTTTCGTGAAAGGATGGGAAGACGAAGTATCAACTTACATCGGAAGGAAGTTGACCGTTTTGAGATACAGCTTGAAATAAAAAAAAGAGTGAGGTGGGCAATAGCCGCAAGCTTTGATTATCAGCAACACCTACAAACATTGTTCTATCAAAATATCATGAAATTGAGATGATGATATCATAAAAAGGAATAACCGGTGATGTACTCCATCATAATAAAATAGCAGCTATTAAAAATTACAGAAGAATATTTCCTATCGTAATTATAAATCGATAATGTTCGATATAATGTATTAGTAGCGATATTTCGACTTTAACTCAAAATTAAATAACCATACATTTTGAATGTGGAGATGGAATCAAGTGATGAAATATCAGTACTGAGCACACAGTCAATATACGGCCAGAAGGCTGCTTCGCAATCCACCTTTCGGGAAAATTTAGACTGCACGTTGACAATCAATTTACGGTCAATAAAGAGTTTCGACCCCCGTAAGTCTTCGGCTATAACACAGTCAACATCAGGACTCTGGCAACGGTCAAGAGCGTCATATGGGAATCCTGTGGAGATCTAATATGGGTTTTATAGAAAATGTTAATTATATAAGGGTCTTGTGGGATAGTACAGGGGTTTTCTGAGGGATTATGTGAAAGTTACTCGTCCAATAACAAAACTAAAGACAAAACTAAAGCCGTTGTATTTAGGGAAGGTGGGAGCCTGAGCCCTTCTTTGAAATTTATTTATGATGGTAAGGTCCTCGACATTGTCTCCTCTTACACATATCTGGGCGTTCTGTTTAGCAGTTCTTCTTTGGGTGCTCTTGCAGCTCGTAAGGCAGTACATAAAGCCAATCAAGCCAGTAGTACAGTAATTGGGCTTCTTGCTCGTGCTAAATGCAATTCGTGGCACTGCATGGCCAAGCTGTTTGAGTCTATCTCCAAGCCTACTCTTCTCTACGCGTGTCCTGTCTGGTCTCTGGACTATTTTGATCTTATTGAATCGGTTCAGTCAGCTTTCTTCAAAAGATTATTATGTTTACCTAAATGCACTCCGAATTGTGCCTTAAGACTTGAGCTGGGCTTGGTTAGAGTCGAGCATGCTGTTTTGAGTATCACGATTAGCTACATAATTAAAATTTTGAAAATGTCGGATGATAGATTACCCAAGATCTGTTTTAAGCAACTGGTGGAGTATGCAAGCAACCCTAACCCATTCAAGGACCCTGTAAAATTCCGAAAATTCAACTGGGCGACTAGAATCAGGGAATTTCTGAAGCTAGTTGATTGTGAAGAACTCTGGGAGAATTTTGATGTTAATGCCTGGATCAGAGAAAAGGACAATTTATTGTGCAACTACAGAAGGATTTTGATTGAAAGGGACCTAGTGGATTGGGGGATGGTCACGCATAAGATTCCTATTGACAGAGGCCCTTCTTCCTCTTTTAATTCTTATCTCACCCGGAGATGTCCGATTTCAATGTTGAGGGCTAAAGCTCAGTTAAGGCTAGCCAGTCCCTACAATTGCAGATTCGTTATTAATGGAAATGTTTTAAATTATACCCCTTCGAAATCTGTAAGTGTTGTGACCTCGGCCTTATGGAATCTATTCTGCATGTGTTGGCTTTCTGTCCCTTCTACTCGGCTCCTCGCTTTAAATTTGTTTACCCGCATTTGTCAGGTCGGTCTTCGGCCGACTTTCTGGCATTTATTAGCTCCCCCGTCAAAGCCTCTACCAGGGCTCTTTTCTATTTCCTTTTCGCTGCGCTTAGTCTTAGAGAAACCTTCCTTGAGAAACAAAACTCCACACATATTAAACCCGACCAACTTATCACTAAATTCCTATGTTCAGGTCTGTCGAATGTAAGTACTTCTTCTAATTGATTATGTATGGATTAAGAGTTGTACTGTTGTGATCTCATTTTTTCCAAAAGTATTGTATTCTTTTATTTAGTTTTAGTTATGCCTCTGTTGCCATTCTTGTTAGGTTTAAATTGTCAGTCACTGCTTCTATTCTCTTTATTCTAGTTTTTAAGTCCACCTTGTACATTATCTTTTATTGAAAATTGTAATGAACGAACCTCACCTGTCATAGGGAGTCCACCCCTTTGAGACAGGCAAATAAATAATAAATAATAATACTCGTCCAATAAACGCTATTCGATAGTAGTGTGAATCACGAGCGGTTCTGTAAGAAATTATTTTGCATTCTATCGTGGAAATGGCAATTGATCGCCTGAATATACCGATATTGGTTAATGATAATCAATGGGCAGATTTTCAGTCATGTAAGTCTACAAATAACTGAGATGACATTTATGTAACAGAATATTGTATCTGAATATAGAAATAAATATGGTCCTTCATGAGTGTTGCGTCCAAGTGAAGAACTTTTGAGTAAGTAATCCACCTTTTCTAGTATTTTCGTGTCATAAAACGATTGATTCCTAATAAATTGATATTCGAGAGTCAATGAATAGTCGTCTCACATTTTTTTTGTAACGTTAGTCTTCATATAAAAACGTCAATCTACTGACAGTAAGCGTAATTTTTATTTTTCAGTAACATTTTTACTTGAAAAAATATCGAATAATAGTGAATTGACTGTCAATCAACTGTCATTCACAGCAACACGATTTATTCCATGAATTTTCCTAATCATCCATAATGAAAATTTATCGGTGATACTGCGCTTTTCACTAAATCCCCTCTAGTGACAGTCAATTGATGATCAATCGAAATGCATATTATGAGTATATTCAAACGACAATTGGCAGACTAAGTATATGTAGCCAATCCAATGTTACTTTCTCATTCGTTATGTGTAATTGAACCATCTTGGAGGTAAGTACTGCCATCTCCCATATTGGCTAGTAGGTGTTATTCCGGATATTCTAATAGGTGGCAGTATACTTCCATTCTGATCTTCGTTACCAACCGAATAACCTTTACATTTTCAGCATCTTGAAATTTTCAGACACCTCCCATATACCCGTCCCGCTGGTTTGCCGTCGGGGGTAAAAAGGTAGGCAGACGCGTACATGGATTCAATATCGAGGGACCGGCGGTCAGGCGTCTCGTAAACCTCATAACGAGTTATGATCGTCTTAACAGCACTGTTAGATGTGGATATGTCTATGGTTTCGTTTTGAGAGGTCATTCGGTAAAAAAAATGTTTATGCAGCCGCGCCGTCTGTCGGCGATACTGACTGTCGATACATTACCAACCGTCCATCGATCAGTAAGATACCGACAGGTTGTTAGTCATAGAAATTTCCAGTGCAGAAATTTCTAGATTCAAAATTTCCTATAAAAGACGTATCGGCACGCCATCAGTCGTAAAGTGGCAATCAAAGAGTTAACATCGTATAAAGTAAAGAGTGTGAATATCTGGTGCAGTGGTAAGGTCAGTCTAGATATTGGCCTGAATACGTCTATAGTTTCAATATGGGGGTCATTTCAGGAGATGGTCCTTATGTGCAGCGCCATCTATCGGAATTCTAGAAAATTCTAGACATTTCGAGGTAATTCGAGAAGTTTCCTGAAATTTCGCAAATATTTAAGGAGTTTCTATAAATTTCGAGGAAATTCAGGGAGTTTCTAGAAAATTCGAGAGAATTCAAGGAGCTTCTAGAAAATTCAAGAGAATTCAAGGAGTTTCCAGGAAATTGGAGGAAATGCTAGCACTTTCTAGGAAATTCGAGAAAGGAAAGACCATGGACGTATCCACGTACAATTACAGCTGTATCGAAGATACAGCCGCCTGTAATTTTTTTGACGCTATTTCTCGATTAAAAAAGAAATCAACGGAGATTGTTTGTTTAAAAAATATTGATCGAATGTGGCATACATTGAATGCTGAATACATCGTTTTTTCCAGTGCGCTTCGACAATTCTGCAACAAGATAGCCGCAGTGGACATCTCTATTCACTGAATCAATAATTATTACAATATTCAATTTTTCTTCTGTCGGTGGCTTTCCAGGGGTTCAAACAATCTCTGAAAAAATTTACTTTATTTAAATTTAGATTTTTTTTGAAGAATTTTTTGTATGTATGGTAGATGTTTAAGGTTTGCCGACTTTTACGGACACCGAAAATCGAGGATTTTTTCGGTTTCTTACTGGGATAAAAAATTAATTAATCAATTTAAATACTTGAAACTCTGTATTGGATGACTAGAGTATTTTTAAACCTTACTTAAAAATGGAGTCGTGTAGATATGCCTATTCTACTGGATAAAACCGAAATTTAATTCTCAATTTTGGAAGGTCAAACGTTTCAAGACAACGTTTTTAATAAAAAGTGCCACTTTTCACTTAAAAAATGAAATTTTTGCGGATACATTCGGAAGTTTACTATACCAATGAAATTGGTAGAAATAAAAAATAAAAAAGATAAATAATGAATCAAGTAACCGGTCGAAGCATTCTGACAGCAAGGCTCGGCCTCCTGCTTTTTTCACATTCATTCGGACCTTCGAATGAGCAAGATAAGATGGCAACATTTATAAATCGCCCAAAATCATTGGGAAAAATCTCAAGCGAATAAATAATAGTTTCTCCCCAATCTTTCAACACCTCCGGCTGCCGCGTGAAGGGTGAAAGTTGCGCGCGCATTCACCCAAGTCACGTCGAGACGGTAAACTCCTTGTGGCGATGTGAGAGCAGTTCAGTACGCCCGTAACTATTGTCCGGTGAATTTTACCCAAAATTTGTCCGAGAAAATCTCACGCAAATCACCACTACCCGTGATAGTTCTCAAAAATTGCATACAAAAAACTATTGAACCCCCGTTCGTTCAACATCGCGACAATTTAAAGACTCACAACGGCAAAAAAAGAATCAATTTTTTTGTACGCAAAGATTATTTGCAGTGTTTGACAAGTTTTCACAGAGTTTGATAAGTTTTTTGTGAAATGGCAGTGATTTGTTACCAATTGCTCCTTATTATTGGGGCCCTGTGTATGTGTATAAATGCATCAACAACCCAAACAATAATTTTTAAATGTTGTAAACAGGGTGAAGAGTTGGAGGAATCTGAGAGTGATGGTGATGGTGTTGATAAGTTGAAATGTGTTCTGAATACCAGAGTCTGGGTGCCAGTGATTTATTCACCATCGAAGAAAAATATCGTTCCCCATCCCCCGTCACATTGGAAAATTGTAGAGGGAAAAAGACCAAATTGTGGTGATGGGAAAGTACTTACCTATGTCCCTTACAATTCTTACAGTCCTGTTATTATTCTTGACGTTGGAGATGCAATTCTTGACGGTGGCAGCGGCGATACCTACGACTCCAGCGAGTATTGTGCAGACACGAAGGCATTACTTGTGTGTATTCCTAGAAAAGTTGAAGCGAACAGGGCTGCAACCACTATGAGGCCTAAAGTGCACAGGTGTTGTGGTGAAAATGCGGTTTTCAGTGAATCAAGGTTTGTTTACATTTTACAATCATGAAGGGAGAGGGGGAATTAAAGTTAAGAAAATTTCTCATGGAAAACACAATAAGTAGATGTTTCTAAGTGGAGAGATATGAATGGGTTGTAATTCTATGATTAGAAACCTTCGCTTTGCTTTGTTATGGAGTTAGTGATGAGTTCAACGATAGGTTAGTCTCGGAACTCCCACGAGTATTTCGAGTTCCCGACCTTTCTCCAATTAATCCCAGGAGTATTTCGAGTCCCCAATTATCCAATTAATCCCCAGAAGTAAAATAAATTCGTTTACCGTTTTGAATATGTTACTTTATTTTTAAATATCAATAATCATTCAAAATTTCATCTGTTTTTTTTATGTCTTCATTTTAACTGAGCAGTCCATACGCTGACAGGAAAAAGTATGAACTTTATGTGAGCAGTTGAAACTTACATTTTTCCCGTTTTTCGATATGCTGAAATAGAATTTGTAACTTAGCCCGCAATGCAGTTACGCAATCAATAAAAAATCTTGAAAAAAAAAATTCTAAGAGAATTAGAATTTAGAGAGAAAAAATTTCCGCTTCACCCAGCCGAGAATCGAACCCGGGTCTCCCAGATACGCGCCGNAAACACCGCCTAACCTCCTTTAGGCATTAAAGAATTCTAAGAGAATTAGAATTTAGAGAGAAAAAATTTCCGCTTCACCCAGCCGGGAATCGAACCCGGGATATTTACAATTCAATTATTTAATAGTATTTTTCGAATATGTGATTGCATGTGATTGCAGGAGGAGCCGAAGGCTAGTGGCATATTCACGAGAAAATTTTTTTTCGTCATTCCGGCCGTAAGGCAGCAATTTATGAACGCGTCGCGAAATATCATTTCGCCGTATGTCGAATGAAATATCATTCGACATATGGCCTAAAAAAAATGTTCTTGCTCATATGATTGCGACCCTCGCCTTCGGCTCGGGCTGCAAACTCATATTCGCCAGAAAAGTTTTTTTCAGCCTAATGACGAAACATACTATTGCCACACAGTGACGAAGCATATTTTTGTCAGGATATTCGTGAGCGGTTTTATAGCAAGCTCAGTATGCGCGAACGAGGCTTAACGAACTGAGTGACAAAAATGCGCTTTACGCTGCCATCCTGAAAAATATGAAAAAATGTTTCAAGCAATAGTATATTACATGCCCGAGCCTTGGAAAACAGATTACCGTGGCAAGCACGTGGGGGAGTGTGATATGTTTTTCATGGCGAGGTGTGTATATTAATTTACAGGTCCCGTGACACGAAAACAATATTTCTAGAAATCTAACGAACAAAATAAATTTTAATTTTTGGAAATGGGTCACTTGTTGCGGAAGATATAAGACCTTGCAACAATTGGGCGGTTATGTTATTTCTGATGGGTGGAGTGACGTATAGACCCATAGGGTCTTCCGAGTCAACCGAATGAATAGAATATTCTCGAAGAGGAAAAACATTCAAACAAAAAAGTTGCGTCGAAGGATATTAAATTGGTTTTTTTATTCTTCTAAAACTCATAATCTTCGGTTAAGATTTGGCATTTTCAATATGACCTTTACTAGGGGTGCATGCACCACTCCAGGCATTAGAAGTGATGTGAGCGTCCAATTATTGCAAACTGCCATATTTTTCGCAAAACTGGATCGATTTCCAAAAATTCATTTTTACCATTCAAAATTCATTTTGTTCGTTAATTTTCAGATTGTTTATTTAAAACGTTTTGTAAAAATTTATAAAAATGGCAGCGTAAAACGCACTTAAATAATGAAATTGTTAATAGTCGTCAACTGCATAACTGTGTTGCGGACTAAGTTATATATTCGGTTTGAGCACATCAAAAAACAAAATATGTAAGTTTCAATTGTTCATATCAATTTCGTACCTTTTGCTGTCAGTGTATCGACGAGAGGAGGAAAGTGGAATTTCTAAGAGATGACGTTTTGTTTACTTTTCCCGTTTATTTTTCCTTTACATTTTCTTGGGTAATTCCGAGGAGAAGCAAGATGTTTTATAGAGCTTCGCGGAAACTTTCTTGAATATGTGATGGGGCCATTCCTATCGACTTATGGGCTACGTTTTATTACTTAGAGATCGCCGAGCTTCAACGCCCGTCCGAAGCTTGACCCATCCTCGACTTGCCGAGTGTTGGTAAACAAGCTTGGGCCATAATTTAGACGTATGTTAACCTAGCAGGCAAAAGGAGCAGAATCTAATTTTCAATATTGGATAATTTGCAGCTTATTATGAGCTAATTTTATATGCCTTCAAAAAATTGTTTGCTAATACCCTTTTTGAAAAAAACGTGTCTCTGCTAGCTTTTTTGTAAGTTAGCAGGAAAATTATTTAAAAAATCAACAGAATTTGATTTTCGATATCGGATAATTTAAAGCTAATTAACAGCTGATTTTCTACGTTTTCAAAAAATTTTCAGCTAACCCAGTTTTTGGAAAAACGGCGTCAATGCTAGCTTACCGCAAGTTAGCAGAAAAAATGGTTAAAAAATGAACAAACTTTCGTTTTCAATATGGGATAATTTAGAGCTCATTAGCAGCTATTTTTTTACGTTTCAAAAAATTTAAAAAAAAAACAAATTTTTTTCACAACAATTTTTTTTCTAAATTTTTGTTTTTTGTTCACAAAACGGCGCATTTACATACTTTCGACTAAAATGTAGAAATGAACTAAATCTCATGCATAAAAGTGGCAAAAAAATCAGTTTTGACATTGGATAATTGAAAAATCATTATCAGATAATTTGTTATAATTCCAAAAGTTTTCATCTTTATGCCGTTCGGAAAACAATAGCGTTGCGGCTTATTATGAGCTAATTTTATATGCATTTGAAAATTTTTCTGCTAA